ACTTATGAACACTGAGAAATAATTGTTATGTAATTAAATATTAAAAAATGCTTTCACCAAATCAATATTATTTAAATTAATAATTTTTTTTACATAATATAATGTTCTTCACACGCGTGATAAGCRTGCGTCGACCAATATTTGAGGTTCGAATCTACGAATTTCTAGTAAATTACAATATGTATGCTCAATGATACTATTTATATATATATATATAATTGCTAATACTCGTTGGGAAACCRGAAATCATGAGGAAGAGCTAATTTAATCTGCGCGCATTGTTTTCAGCCGGCCGAGATGAACGTGATGGAAGCTAACCTAACCGTCAAAGGATCTTCGCCGGCCGCAGCGGAGGCGGTGATCAAGATGGAGGCAGCCGAACGGCCTTTCGAGTCGGCCAACACGGTGGCCGATTCCGGCGTGATCGTCAAGCGGGAAAAGCTGTCACCCATACGCATAGTGAGTACCTTACTTATCCATCACGACCCCCTCCCCCCACCCTCCCTCCCTCTCACAACTGCAAAGTCGTCGTCGTCATCGTCAAAGGTGTCGACGACTCCGAGCGTTGAATTACCGTTAACCGTCATGGTTCGTTCGCAGTCCGAGTACATACCGGAAACGAAGGCGACTCCGGAACAGCCGACGACCGGCGGTCCGGTGTCCGGCAGCGTCAAGATCGAGGAAGAGATCCGGACCAACGAGCCGATCGCCAACAACGTGGACGTGCCGATCGACGAGATACTGTCCAACTCGAAAAAAAGCAACCACCTGCCCAAGTACGTGATCCGACCGGTGCCGAAGTTGGACACGGAAGAGACGGACAAGGATCCTCGGAGGCGGTGTTCYACGCTGGTCCACGTGTTCAAGTTCCTGTCGGCCGAAGACCTGAAACGCTGTTCGCTGGTGTGCAAAGACTGGTACACGGCCACCATCAGCCCGGCACTCTGGAACCGCATGGATCTCACCGAGACCGTTATCACTCCGAAACTGATCAAGTGTGAGTATATACCTAACACATGGTCATCGAGTTATTGTTATCACAGTCGTATCGCAATATCCCTTGGTTCGTTTTTTTTTTTTTTTTAAATGTTTTATCATCCGCCACAATATGTGCTTATCTCACGGTCCTCCAAGATCAAACGACGAGTATATTACAAACATTCCTCTTCGACCATTTTTTAAGCAATTTGGATAATGTAATGTATTATATTTAGACAGAATTTTGTAGCATGGGCACGCCCGCATCGTCACCGTTTTACAGTTGTACGACAATATAAATTTTCAATGAATCATAAACAATCATAAATTACCAACATCCGAACACACTCTGTCGTGACACAGTTTCTTTGTAAAACATTAACTAAAGTAAACGATCGCTTGTAAATGGAACATCATTATTATTGTTATTTTTTGTTTTATAAATTCATATATCTAAACTTCATTTAGATATAAATAGAATATAAAATAAATGTCGATCATAATTATTAAATTAATTCTTACGCTGTATGGCCTTTTTCCCACATTTTTGAACTATGCAGTCGACTGTGCCTTGTGTACTTACGCACTTYTAGTTCTTGCATGCGTGTCTGAACAACATCTAATGRAGTTAAGTTWAGATTATTTTCATTTCCAGGATTCTATTTATATTATTTTTTAGTAAGTTATGATAATTTTAAGATGTACAGCTTCAAAGTTATACCCATTTGAGCTTTTGGAMTACATAAATTATGGTGTATRATACCTATTATGWTRTCATCGTTGATTTTCCGCAATTTCTGCTCCTTTCTAATGRTGTTCGTGTTTTTTATTTTTCAGACGTCATGGTCAGACAACCAAAAGTGCTGATTTTGGATTGGTGCAAGATCACCAAAGAACAACTCTCGTGGTTGCTTGTTCGACTGCCGCAGAGCAAGGCGCTGTCGCTGCAGGGCTGCCCTTGGTCAACAGTTTCGTGCCTCCGGTCGTGCGTGTGCCCGATGCTGACGTCGCTGAACCTGAGCTTCGTGCCCACCATGGACGACGCGGCCCTGCAGCACATCCTGTCGCCGCCGCTGGACCACCGACCCGGGCTGCTCGACTTGGCCTGTCGGCTGTCCAATCTCAAGTCGCTGAAGCTGGCCGGCAGCCACATCACCGACGAGGGCATACAGATCATCGTGCGGGTGTTGCCCAAGCTGTCCATGCTCGATCTGTCGCAGTGCTACCCGATCACCGACAATGGTGTGGAGTCGTTGACCCAGATAAGCGGGCTGTCCACGTTACAGCTGTCCGGCTGCACGGGCATCAGCGAACAGTCGCTGAAGATACTCGGCAAGTGCAAGAGCCTCACGTACCTGGACCTCAGGCACACGAAGCTCACCAAGTCGTCCATCAACAAGTTYGTGTCCAAYCGGGAAGGGTTCAAGGCCTTCGACTCGAAACTCATCGTAAAGGTCGACAAGTCCTGATACAGGCTTGACGCTCCCGAACATTTGGTCTTCGGATTCTAACCGCATATCATAATTTCGGCGGCGGCGCGCAGCGGTGCATGTACATATTGATAATGGTGTATATAGTGTATACACTTATTTATTATATTATATTATTATGTAAAGAAATAAGTTATTTTATAAACAGTGTTACGCATACAGTATTAGTAAGAGGAAAAAAATTGTATACTTTTTTTTCACACACATAAGCCTGTGTTTGTATTTTTAAGACRAGAGGATTATATTATTATGTTTTATTGACGCAGCTCAATTGATGATGGTTACATCGTGTGGTTGCTGTATATAGTAAGAGTATTAACGACAAGTCGTCCACGCCAACATAAATGTTTCCAGGATTTTTTCTTTTTTGTTTTTTAAAATAAAGTAGTGTTGATAAAATATTAAAAACTCACAATGTTTTCACGCTTGTAAGTCATTGTACCTTACATATTATATTATGTTATATTTATACTTTTTAGTATTTAATATTGTTCTATTACACATGATTTATCATACTTCTAGTCTAAGCAATACTAACTATTATTATTTATTGTATAGTTTACGAGTATGCAAGTTGGATACCTATTATGAA